CGTTGGTCAAATGGTCGCAAGTGCGACTGCCGGGCAAGGGGTCTCGGGTTCCCGGGTCGGGCAATGTATTACTGGGTTTTTTAAAATCTCAGTAGTAACACGGAATTGTGTCCGGTATATGGCAATAGGCCCCTATTACAAGGGTCTTATAACATAAATAGTGAAAACTGGGTGTTACATTGTAAAGTGGCATTAAATGCTGTAACGTGCACCTCTGCCTACCCCTTCGGGATTAAAAGACGTGGTGTTATGTAACTCAGAAGAAAAGCTGATTAAAGTCAGGGTATACTAGTTTACAGTATAGATGGCTGGCCTTTTTGTTGTATATCGATATTGAATACGAAGATTTGGATCGACATTTATTAAAGTTCAAGCGAGAGGCGTTGTACCGATAACGGTGTGTTTTTATTGATATATTTAACTTATCCATTATCCACAGACACGGTCTATTTATTTTATTCAAGCCGTTTTAATAATGTTTACTTAAAACGTGTGCCTGCTTGCAAATCATGGCTGCCTGGTACCATGTGTGCCTGGTACTTCGTACTTATCTAGGAGTTGATACATTTATTTCCGAATGAGGGAGATTTTATTTATAAGTTCGGATGTATTTTTGTCTTGCTGACATTGACACACATGTCCTAATGTCATGGTATGTTGTTAGCACGAATTGTAATATAGGTTTCGATAAAATGTACATATAAGATAGTGAAAGCCTTCGGAAACAATCGTCGTACAATACCCGTAGGTTTTCATCGCGGTTTGGTATTGAAAACTATTGTTTTATAGGGTCATCTTGATACGAACCTTGGGTCCACATCAGGGGGCACTCAATGACAAATACCTAGTTCACTGATCAAGGTAGAAACTGTTTACCTTTTTGTATTTAATTTGCCGACAAATTTATACAAGAGTTTGAGCGAAATTATTTATTCAAAGTTCAAACTTCTTAACACAACAATTAAGACATCTCGTTAGTTAACTTTAATATTTTTATTATTCATGACAATAACATTATTATTTATTCATGAAAAAGAAAAAGAGTACTAGTACTACTTGTCAGTAATTATACCTACACTAGGTTTCCCCACGACTCCACCCATGTTACCGATCATTTTATCATGTACTTGACAACCCGTAGTTTTCGCGTAATTATGAAACAAACATACATGTTTGTGCTTTCACTATGTATATTGATTTGCAATGCAAAACAAAGATAAAAGCAACAGTACCCAATTGGGTTCTGACAACACAAATCAGTGTTGCAATACATTTAAAAATCAAAACCAGTTCCAAAATAGATTGTTCTAGACTTTGATTCAGAATAATATCAACAAAAACATGTGTAGTATGTTTATCTAACACATTTATATCATGAGCCTTGTTGTGATATAGAACAGTGTGCAGACAAGTATCGCTGACCTGTCCGTATACATGCACGGTGCCAAATCATTGGGAGAACGTGGTTACGTATAATAATAGATTGTTTTTGAGTTCAGTGCCACTGAAAATGCTCGGAAACTGCGTAATTGGTTGAAAATGTCCTGAAAACTGAAATTGTATTGTTAGCTTGATGATCAAATAACTCTGTTTTTATGGTTGCATGTCATGTTTCATACAAAAATGTCATATTCGTTTTTTGTTCCAAAAGATAAGAGTATGTGCAACGTGTTATAAAGAAAAAAAAAACAATAACAATAAAAAATAAAAGCTAGATAAAGCTCACAATTAGTTCACAAGTACCAGGCACACATAAGCTTCCAAGAAGTGCAATTAGAACTCGGAGAGTGAAGGCAACACAGTATCGGCACGGTCAAGGTTGCCCACATACGGGTTACTACTCTATCTTTGTTTATATCCTTCCGATATTATGTGAGCCTGGTACTTAAGAATAAAATTCACAATGAAGGTTAAGAAAGAAATATTGTTCAGTGTATGTATTTAAAACGTTTGCAATTAGGTACTTTGGTCCCTTTATCATTATAGCTAATGACGGGCATATTTAAAAAAAGAATAAAGTTAAATATCGACCAATTTTCTTGTAATTTATGTTAATTACCAATCATGTACGACGATACAATAAGTACCTACTACCTATTAGCAATACGAACCAGAACTTAAAAACATATTTTTTAGTTATTTCTAGAATTTACGTGGATATTCTACGGGTCCATATAGTACATAATATTATTGACACTTGATAAAACGGTATGTGGAAAACATACGTGCCCTAATGGCCTTACGTTCACTAAAGCAGACTTAAACATTTTATTAAATTATAACTGGAAGAGACATTACACCATAGGACTCATTTCATATACAAAAAACTTGATAGAAATATACTTCAATTTTTTTGCTCTACGTACTGAAGCAATCAAAAACTAGTTTCGATTTTAAAATCAAATTTTCTAGAACGGGTAATATTCCGCTAAAACATTTAATTTCATGTAATTTACAATTATAATTAGATAGATAAAGATAAGTATAAATTAGACAGTCAGAAAACATCTGGCTGAATAGAAGATAAGCCAATATTTTCTTCTGTAATTCATAAAAAATCTTCAATATTGTGTGTGATTGAAGTTATAGTGCAGATATTTGTCTCTTCCATTGTATGTTTATTTCATAAAATTGGTTATAAATAGTAGTATATGAACAAACAGCGGCCGCCCGCAGAGTGCAGTACATTCGAAGCATTTGGACCAGAATCCAGTGGCAATGTACAAAATGTACACAGACGCAGAAACACAGACATTTCGAATGATAGGACACTCGCTAACTGTGAGTATTTCACGATCAATCGATTAAAGTTTCAAAATTAATAGAAATTAATCGATTTTTAAGTCGAGCTTTTGTTTTCAAATAGTAGCTCTGATTATCCTATTTTTTAAGTTTTTTTTTAATTACTATAAACAACGAGACAAGTTTATGTGGTTAAGATCCGTATTCATTTCGTATAAAACGTAAAAGAAAAATATTTTAATATCGTTTCAAGAAAACTAACATCGATATTGCTTAACAACAACTTCTCCATAGGAATCTACACTTTGGAATAAGCAAATAGCTTCACTTTTAATTTTTTTTGTTGACGTTCAAAAGTGCCTTTTTGGTCTAATTGAAATAAATGATTTTGACATTGACTTTCACGCTGATACATACCGACGTGACGTTATGTGTAATCAATCAATTGACAGATGTGACAGGTTGTCAATGTACTTATGACTCATTCAGCCAACATAACTCATTCACGTCACGCTTTACAACATTTTTTATACAATTTATTTTTCTTATCATAAAGTGCACCTTTATGCCGTATGTGAATGAATTAGTCATTGAATAGCTTTCTTTTTATTCTTTCCATATATTTCGTTATATTTTATTGGTCTATTTAAAAATATGAGAATAAGGTAACTATTGCTGAAATGTCACTCATTACATCAATAATGTGTGTTAAAATCCAATACTCAATTGCTTGACTAAGTAAAAAATACTTTATTAGATAATGGTAGATTTACATATGTGCGTGAATCAAAGGACCATTTTTTATTCATCTTTGAAATAAAGGCGCATCACGCGAGACAAACAGCTTGTATTTAGTTATCTACAGTAATTAGGGTCCGTGCACATACTATGTAGTACATAATACATGTAGTATATACTATGTAATCGTCGTTAGCACAATCACAAGAATCGTTCGCCAGTTATCTTGTTCCGGTAGTTGACTGCCATTTTATAGACCACTTACACGCATGTCAGCTCATTTTAATATGCTTTGACAACACGGTAAAAAGTCACAAGTTTGCACAAAAATAAAAACAAAAAAGAAACGCGTGTTTAGAATTATCATTTACCTACAAAATAAGTACATCTAATAACTTCAAATTGTCGACTAAATCAAGTGTTATCAGCTAACATTTACCGGGAAATACCGGATAATTATATTGCTACTGTAAATACATAATTATTATTTCTTGTATTGTATTCTGTTGTATCTTTCTCTTAAATACAAATACATTTTAAACCAAGGCAAAGTTTGCAAGTCAGTAAATTAGCTACGATTGACAATGGTCATAAATGACTTAAACAAACGTCATTTTCACATAATGATATGTATTTCGATTACATAAGGAATACGACATATCATCAATTTAGTAAATAGACTTATTAGCTGAGATTGCTGGACAATCAGCAATTAATTAGTTTAATGGATGTCCAGCACATAGTAGTCAACTATGTAAGTACTAGGTAGCCTGGTATAGGTACTAGTTGGAGCACGTGGCTTGCGCTGTGCGCTATAATTTTCCTTTCAGAGCACGTTTTAAGATAAACATCTGTGTTGACGATTACCCAGTCACTGTTTTGACATTTTGTCGCTAACGTTTCGTACGATCTAACATACTTGTGTTGTTCTCATTAAGTTACCTTTGTTATTTCTACAACAAATTGAATAAACCGTCTTCATAATGTAGACTGATTCTCAGACTAGGAAGTAAACAACGTTAACATCACATGACAATAATATTTCGGCAGTTTTATTCATTAATTCCACGCTATAACGAGCCTAGATTCAAAACACAAAAGTTCCATAATAAACAAGTTTGTCATTCACTTAGATTACGCAACAGTCATAAAATAGTTCGTTTCCTCATTACGTGTATTGGGTCATTGGTCTTGCCGCTCTAATTATTTGATTGTTGAGCCACTTCCACAAATGAGGACTTCATGGAATCTCCCGTTTCCTAGTTAAATGGAACTTGTGCTAGACCATTCTATGTCGGGATAACGTCAATGGACCCGAAGGACGATTAGTGACCTAGAGTGGAAAACCTTCATGAAGACCTCATTGCTTAAGAAAGATGAAAAGTACTCAAACCGATATCAAAACAATCATTCTGATATCTCGTCTGATAAATAAATATTAATTGTATTAATGATAAAGGATCAATAAATCAAATTGTATCCATTGTCAGTATTTTTTAATAGGAATTCATAAATTGCAGGTATTGGCGGCACTGGCGGCGCAGTCTATCAACATTTCAGTGGGCTTCTGTCAAGGGTTCTCAGCGGTTCTGCTACCCCAGTACACACACGAACACTCCGCAATAACGTATGAGCAAAGTTCATGGATCGGTGAGTAAATAATTATTTGTTTGTTGTCTTTTATTATGGAAATGTGTAACCAGAAAAATCATACTCAAAACATTGTATGCTGTATTTGTAATTATGTAAATAATATTTGTTTTGTGAATGTATTTGTTGAGAGTTAGCGTGTACCTTTGAACAATGAGCGCGCAATGGTTCGTGAACGTGTGATAATTAGTGAATAGGTACAGAGACTACATTGTTCATTATTTTAATATGAGACAAACGAAGTCTGAACTACTGCAGTTTTAGGAAACGGTTTTCAATACAGAATGTAGTACTTATGTAATAATAAGAATTAAGAGCGATACATTCTACTGTTTATCCTTTTGAATTCTATTGTTTACATATTCGTAGTTTGTAGTATATGAACCATAACAAACAGAGAGATGGAAAGTGATATTCCCTATCGGACACACTGAATGAACACTGCGAAACAATGTTTACATTTTATTTTGGGATTGGAGGGCGATGCCAGGGCGATAAACGTGAGCCAGCTCAATGAGGCCGCTAAAAATATAGCTCACTCACATAGCACGTTTTAATGAAATTTAGCTGTGGGAAACAGATGACCGGCGTCTGTAGTTACGACAAAAGAGGTTATTAAAACATTAGAAATATGTAATTAAATTACAAAAATATGTAATTAAATTTTCAGAATAAAGGACCAAACCGAAAAAACTGGTCTTTATGTCCTGAGAAATGTCAAACATTTGTAGACTATTTATTCCCAATATAAATATTAATAGAGCAACACTTTGTAGACATCGGAAATTAAATATTGACGCAAATTGTCGACGTGCGCAAATGAGATAGCGTTAGCACACAGTCAAACACATCATTTGTACTAGGAGATAAGTAACACGAGGAGCGAGGGTCGTAAGCCTAGGGCCTTATTGCTGATCACGCACAACGCGAACCCTATCACAAGTTATGATTATGACCCTTTCAAGGAGACAGAAGCTGACTTCGATAAGGTCCGAGAGCCTTGGGATAGAGAATTAAGTATATTTGATACTGAAGGTCAATAAGTAATCCAATATTTATCATTATTTCTATTTTACAGCCAGTTTGGGTGTGATATCGAACCCCATCGGAGCCCTTCTGGGCGGCATGATGGTGGATGCCGTGGGGAGGAGATTGCTGTTGCAGTCCATCGTGCTGCCCAACCTGGTCGGGTGGCTCGTCATCGCGTTCTCAGAGACCTACATCTTCCTATGCATAGGGAGGTTCATCACCGGGTTTACTATCGGTAAGTTGCAATTCTACATTTTATTCAATCTTGTTTGCATATAAGAAATCTTATCTTACAATCCTGTATTTTCATTTTTAACATAACTAAAGGAAAAACAGCGTGAAGTATCGGAAGACTACCTAATTGAAACGAGACAAACGAACCGTATCCACTTACACTATCAGCGTCTCTAATAACGTTAACTGTTTCAATTCCAGGCATGTCAACGGTCTCCTACATATACGTGGCAGAGATCACCACACCAGAGAAACGTGGAGTGCTCAGTGCCCTAGGGCCGGGGCTTGTGTCCACTGGCATCTTCATCGTCTATTCGTTGGGAGCCTTCGTACATTGGAGGAAAGTCGCAGCCATCTGCGCCGGCGTGTCCCTCCTAACACCCTTCTTAATGTACTTCGTTCCCGAGTCACCTCTGTGGCTCGCGTCAAAAGGACAAATGAAGGAAGCCTATAACGCAATGTTCTGGCTCCGACAGAATAACAGTACAGCACAACAAGAGCTAATGGAGTTCACAAAAGACAGAAAAGTAGGAGAAAACATGACCTTCACACAAAAACTCCATCTATTCACGAGAAGAAGCGTCGTCAAGCCGTTCCTTCTACTCATCATTTTCTTCATTTTCCAAGAAATGTCTGGCATTTACGTAATTTTGTACTATGCGGTGGACTTCTTTAAGTCTGTGGGAACCAGTGTCAACGAGTTCACAGCGTCTATCATAGTGGGCGGAGTACGAGTCTTTATGGGAGCTGTTGGAGCATGTTTAATTAATAGCTTTAGAAGAAAAACTCTAGCAGCCACTTCAGGGCTGCTACTAGGTGTAGCTATGCTCGGTGCAGCAGTGTGCGATAGTGTAAACGGGCCACCATTGGTGAAACTAGCTTGTGTACTACTTCACGTGTCGTTCAGTATGGTGGGATTCCTACAGCTGCCCTGGATCATGTCTGGAGAACTGTATCCCCACGACATACGGGGAGTAATGTCTGGCGCTACATCTTGCTGTGCATACGTCCTCATATTCTTTAACATTAAGACTTACCCCCAATTAGAAAAACTAGTAACTAGTAACGGTACATTGTACCTCTTCGGAGGCTGTGCGCTCCTGGGAGCTGCGTACTGTTACTTTTTCCTTCCAGAGACGAAAGGAAAAACTTTGACTGAAATAATGAGGCAATTTGATGATGAGAAGAAAGAAATTGACCCTGAAGTAGGATTCACGAAAGAGAAGCCATGTGCAATGGAGGGAAAACCAGTACAAAGGCGACACAGTGCAGGAGCTACAATCTCTTTAGAGAAGAAGTGGACGCAGGATGAATGCAAGAAGACTTCAGATCACTGCGAGTAACTCTCGTAGTTCTATGATAGCCTAGTACTTTTAGTTGTAATGATTAATTTACCAATGAATTTGTAAAGTTAACTATTTGTAATATTATTGTATTGTTTGTGAAGTTGTGATCAGTATTAATTAGGATGTTTTTAAACTTTTGATAATGTTACATTCCACTAGTGATAAATAATTTTAATACAAGGTGACGACATAGGTATACTTACACGGTAAAGTTTTACCTAGTTTTTAAGTACAAATAAATATTGGTGTAACAAAATCGAGGCAATGAAGTGATTAATAAAGTAATTAGTATTTTTATATCGCGCAGTTAGGTAGATGATATTTTTATATTGTTATATTGATAATAACTATTTATTATCCCTCGTAGAAGATCTAAGCCAATAGAATCAGTGAGCTGTGTACAGGGTGAATGAATTTATTTTATAAAGTAAATGGGTGGACTTACATAATATAATTGAAGAAGCTGTGATGAAGTGTGAATAAAGGAATGACTTGTTTACAACGTTTGTTTCATTTTCTATAATTAATTAATTGTATAGGTGTTGACCTGGATGGGCTGGATACGATAAGATATGAAATGCGGTCAACGTTCAAGAGCAGAGATAGTCGGAGAGAGCAAACAGAAACAGTCACAGACAAACATTCATCAATGATGTATTTCTGTGATAGTAAGTATACATGCTTACACAACCTTCGAGGTAGATAGTTATTATATTGCAGGTTTAAGAATAAACTTCTATGTAATCTTATTTTCGCATAGAATGATACCGAATTGGCATAAATGTTGGTAGAAAAGGCAACTGCCGAGTATGGAACTAATATTGGGATATCAATTATGAAATTGGCACTATTCGCACGGAGACTGGAATGGGACCAGTAATAAATATTTCTTGTAAAAATATAAAATATGTATAAATAATCTCTATAATTGTCAATTCGAGGCATTATATTAATTATGTAATTTTATTTATATGTATCATGAAATTATGTAAATCTGTGTAGGTAATTACCACTTCAAATGAGATAATAAGATTATAAACCAGAATCTTCATATCGTTATATGTACAACTCGTTAGTTGATATGATATAACTAGCGCCATCTATGTCACGGTTCAAAAACGTCCGTCTATCGAGTTTTTACATAGGTAACAGCCAGTGAAGGTTCGATAGCAGAACCTTTTAATACACCTCTCGTACACTAGGTGGCAGCACAATGTTAGTAGTTATTCTGTCAGAGAACTAAAGCTTTTTTAAGGTATATTTGTATATTTTATTATTATAAAACATAGTTATAGACACGGACACTGTCTAGATGTCCTGGAATTTCCTCGCCGGAACATAATCAAAGTAAAAAATAGACTTACCTGGATTGTGGTATTCCGTATTTGATGCCGACGCCGACCCTCGGCAGCGCCTTGATCACCTTCTTAACCGTGGCCTGGTCGGGGAATGCGAAGAATATGGAAGCTGAAACATTATAAAAATCTTTTATGTGTCGTGTAATTTGGTGTCACTACATCGAGGACGGGCAGCAACGTCGCCGATGTGGACATTTAGAGAAACACCGACAGCCTTAGGACATGCAGCTACCAGGACCACATAACTCCATAGGAGCTTTGGTCCTTTTATGCGCATAGTAGTAGAAGAGTAGGTAAGAGGTTATTAGTGATAGAAGGGTAAAGTGTCGCATTTTTTACGCTTTCCAAGAGCGTGTGTGAGGGGAGTGCTGCCTTGTGTAGACACAAGCGCGTGTGCTCCAGTTTTGCTTGGTTGTGTCAAGAAGAAGCGGTGTTAGCACACGACATTGAACATGCAACACTCAGTTCTCCAATATTATAAAAATCCCTCCACCTTCATATATCATTGTTTTTACTGCTTATTTTTTGAAATCGATATTAAATATCCGAGGCGTATGCACAGTACACGCAGTTTTAGTTTAATTTTGTTGAAGTAGTAATTTCTCACGATTCTCAAGAGTTTCCTCATACGTACTAAATAAACATGGATTGATTGTACTTACTCCTGCTGGCGAGGAACATCTCGATGGCAACATTCTGTAGCAGGTATCTCCTGGAGAATATCGCCCTAATCTCGCTGAAGTACCATTTGCCATGCAGGTGCTCGCAGTATTTCAACACCTGGAAAAAAGAAAAGGACATTAATAAAACTAATAAAATGACTTTCAAAATTCTTAGGGAATCATGTCAAAAGTGAACAACGAGGGAACAATTGATATAACATCAATAATTATTATTAACATCGTAAACGTTAGTTATAACTCGTCCACAAGATGGCGTTAAAACGAAAATAGTTGCAACAAGAATAAAGTCCACGTCGTAAAAGTAAGGAACACGTCGGGTCGTAAAAAGTTCGTTAGTTTTAATTTATACGTACAATAATTGTGTAAATCAAGTCTTACTTGTCCGTTATATTGTTTTAATGTGTGTTCAAGCGTTTAAATAATGTCGTCTCATGTTAATTTAGACTTCCGTACAACTATCGCTTATATACCTGTTTGTTAAGGTTTTTTTCTTTGTGGCGTGATTTATGAAATATATTAGGACATTAGTTGACTTGAATTTATAGGCTAAGATATTTTCACGTCAACTGACATTCTCTTCCTGTCTGAATGAAATATAGGTAGGTATCTATCTACATAGTTGAGTACCTAGGATATAAATTAGAGGCTGTTGATCTAGCTCGTAAATCTAGACTGCAGGAGAAGTGCAGAGTTGGCAACGAGCCGACATGTTGGAGCCGGGCTGACGTGTTAGTCGCCGGCTATCATCACCTGTCTGCCTGGCTAACCTGTGTTAACTGAGCGAGCTGTCGGTCAGCAAACTGTTTAATTAATTACTGAATACTTTCAGGTGATTATTGATTTATTTCGTCTTGTTGAGTGAGAACTGTACATACGTAGACAGTACTAAACATAACTATTTCATTAATTAATCACTATTTTTGTATATCCTTATACTTTCCATATTCGACCACCTGCTGAGGTTCGAAACATCTGATATCATAACTCTCAATCAACAAATGTACTCAATTTTATCTGACAGAGAAAGTCTTTTCCTCTCTTCAAGAAGACAGTCCCTAATACAATATTTAATGAGTATACTCAACTACTATTATTAAAAACCACAAAAGAATCTATTATTCCATTGTAAACAACAGTAGACTAAAAAGAGCATGGGCTATAAACACAGGAGAGCACGTGTCAGGTCTCCATAGAACCGCCATGGATGCATGGTGTATGGGGTCCACTAATTGGCAGTTGAGATGGATTGGCGAGAGCACTGCAGTGATTGTTATGGTGTAGTTCTATGGGGCGACGGCCCGCGGCGACCAGTATGCGAGTGAGAAAAGCCATATGTTACTAATATGTGTAATACTGTCATGATTTGGTTTTGTTCGGTTCACTGGATATTGTATTATGGAGTATAATGCTATAGCTGTCCATTTTTTTATATTATATGTATGACAGTTTTAGAGTACAAAAGTGATTTTACAATAAATATTTTTGGTCCTTCGGTCCTCTTTAAAAAAACTGATTTTTCGCTTTTGCTATTACATATTATAATTGCTTGTAGTTCCTGTATCCATTGTTGTATTCCATGTATGTATATAATACTCACGATTAATTAACAAGCATGTCGCGAAACAATGTTTTATATTTAACTCCAGTATCACTCACGCACTTTGCAAATTAAGGCACTTTAATGCCCTTGTTAAGCCATTAACAAAAATAGTGTTTTCAAGGGAAGCGAATAGAAATATATGCAAATTCGATCTCCGTGTCAGGCTTGATTCTGAGGCAATGACTTTTCAAGTCACATGTGTATCTTTATGCATGTCAAGAAATGACGTAGAATATAACTTCTAGCTAACAAATTGGGGCAAAAACAGATCATGTGTACACAAAAAAAATCAAAAATTATGTCTTCAAGACTATTCATCTTGTAGCCTTTTTAGTCTAGTAATGTTTAAGCGTTTTGATTCTATCGTATAATTAAAACAAGTGGTAGTAAAAAGAGTAATCTTACCAAATATAGGTAGTACAAAAAGATAACAGTAAGCCCATAGAGAACCATATTAATAGGTACTAGGATAGCAAAAACATGAGGGTGCGTGCGAGTGCAAACGTCCACTTCAATTGTAATGCAATTTGTCAGCCACCCCCTTGAGCTTCGGATACCCTGGTACAAAGTGACTCGGATGTTTAAATAAATATAACATTCCCTGTTTTCATTTATTATGACTTCTGAATAAATGTAATAGAAAAATAATATTCGGATAGATCACTGTAAGTTTTAAATATTTTTTGGCAACTTTAATGCAATATTTACGTTTTTGCTAATTTAAACTATTTAGACACGTAAACCTCATGGTGTTTATGCATCATATACATACTATAATACAACTATCTTAAATATTTACAACAAGATTTATCGCCAATATACAGAATACGCCATAAAATTCGCATGGGAAACTTGCATCGTTTAGTAACTCGTTAATCCCCACAAGTTATGCGCAAACGTTTCTCCGTGGATTTTGTACAAACAAGGCGATTATCACCAAGTTCCCATAACTGGTAGATGGTAGATCAAGCACACAGATTCAGATAGGACACGCTCTATATTAATAACTGCCGAATCCTCAATCATTTTCTGTGCTCCTACAGCTTATGTTTTGTTTATGAACAGAGAATAAATTAGGTGCTTTACCTAAGCAGTGAATTAATCGAAGTGAATTATGCACTGAAACTGCTTGAATTAATGAGCATTTTATTGGAGTTAGGAACGTCATAAGTGTTACGACTTCAAAATAGGAAAGATAATGACCAAGAGCCATAGAAAAAGGAATAAAAATATTTATACCTACGTGATAATTATGATGAGGTAACGGGGCCCCATAAGATAATACAATTCTAAACAAACGAGGAACAATAATGTTAGACATTTTCGTACATGTTTTAGTGTATTGTATACAGCGGGATGCAACATGCAGTATCATCATTAGATCATAATGGTCGGTTGTCACGACACCGGGGGATGCAGGGAACCGCGCCATGTCGCCACACCGCGCGGTCTCGCGGTGGGAACCGCACACATGTCCGCCTCACTTGATTTATTTCCTATAATACCATTACGAGAGCATTAAGTGGATGCTAGATGAAATTATGTACCACTTAATGTCTTTTGTGTTCGGTAATAAAATGGGAGCTTCCTTGAATACGTTGTATGTGGGGTCAAGTTTATTTTTTCTTTTAATTATTTTATAGATGTCTTCAATAATAAATTAAATACTTGAATTAATTGAGTAATTTTAGTTCGTGACTACTTAAACAGGCGTAATATAGAGGTGACCTTTATAAAATAAAATAATTCGAGTAACATTAACTTGCAATGCAAAATCAATTGAGTGTCCCAAGCAATTAACATCTATTTCAAATAAATCTTATAGAGAATAACCTCATAAACTAA